GGCTGCCAGCTGACCTTGGCCCGGAGAAGTGTTAGAGTCCATCTCCTCCATTTCGCTCTTCCGCTCCAAAAGAGTGGCGGTGCACTGGCACAGCTGCCCAGGGAGGTGGTGGAGTCACTGTCCCCAGAGGTGTTCAGAACCGTGGGGATGTGGCACTGAGGGATGTGGTCAGTGGGCACGGCAGGGGTGAGTCAACAGTAGGACTAGACGATCTTAGGGATCTTTTCCAACAAGCCCTCCCTGCCCCACCAATGCTCATTTCTTTGACTTGTTGACTTGCCCTCTGCAAATTCTTTGCGCAGCGACATGACAAATTAAACCCCTTATTAACTAATTAAGCTATTTCTCCAACCAGGCAGGAAGGCGAGAGGAGGTTGTTATTCTTTCTATTTTTAAATACCTGCAAGAGGCACACGTGTCTGAGGTGCGTGGTGGACGGCTCCAGCTGAGCTGTACCACTGCAGCTTGACACCTCTACAACAAAACCCATCAGGACTGAAACTTGCTTGTTTTTATTTAGTTTGCACATCTGGGAGCTATTTCAGTGTCCAGAAAGGCTTCCTGAACCTCCAGATGTTGAAGAACCACAGAGATGTGGCACTGAGAGATATGTGGTTAGTAGGCATGGTGGGGATGGGTCGACAGTTGGACTGGATGACCTTAGAGATCTTTTCAGCCTTGATTCTATGATTCCTTAATGGACCTTTAAGCTTGGGGTGGGCACAGAGCTCAATACTGCAGCCTACAAGCACACGTTTGCTTTGAAGTTGGTGAAGTTTTCTGCCTTTTTAGCAAAATCAGCTGAGCAGCAACCTGCCCTATGCTAGGGATGTCCTCTTCTGGCCTCCTTGCAGCTCCATCATCCCTCTTGCTTCTGAGCGTGGCACCATACATGGACCCGAATGCAGGCAGGTGTGACTCTCCCTGGGTCTGTGGGCTGGAAGGGGCTTGGAGCTGTAATGGTCCACGCTTGCAGAGAGTTTGGGGTGAGTGCTGTGGTGAGAGTGCCTGCAGAGTGTGCTGTGGCTTCAGGGATGCTGTGTGGCTGGGAGCTGGGATGGAGGGCTTTGTGGTTTTCTCATGAAAAGTCCCTAGCTGGTGGCATGGTGGAAGGGTTCTTGGGAGAACACAGCACAGCTGGTGCAGCCTTGGGTGTAGAGAGCATCATGCATTTATCCTGGTCTGCACAGATAGGAGGCATGAGGGCAAAGGGAGCTCAAAGGCTCCTTGGGCAGAAAGATGGCTGCAGGCACACCTGGGGAACCCCAGAAATGCTTTGCTGTGCTGTTTTCAGTGAAGTGACTGACGGGGATTGAGGGAGGAGGATGGATATGAGTGGGGAGTGGATTTAGGAAATGATTTCATCATTGGTTAAATTTTCTATGTGCTGAGACTTTGCAGAGGTTGGGGAAAGAGCAGCGAAAGGATGTCACCAAAAGATCCCATTGTCAACTGTGGCTGAAGGGAAAAGAGATGGATCTTGTCAGGTCCTTGGCCATGCAAAGCCACACTGGAGAACGTGGGGCAGGGACAGCAAATCCCACCTCGTCCGTGCCTGAAAATATTTCCCCTGTCTAATGCATTACTGCATGCTTATTCCTATAACAAATAACTGAGTCAGCGGGAGAAAACCAAATTCAATTTATGTCTCAGTCCAAGCAAATAGCAAAGGCTGCCAAATCCGACAATAAAAGAAAAACAACACAGTGATCTCAGATGTTTCCCTCCTCTATATTAAGAGGGAGCAGCACAGCGTTTGGCCGAGGTGCCGATAGGGGGGGGACAGGAGCATGCAGGAGCCAGCCTTGTGCAGCACTCTGCAGGGTGTGCTGAGGGGTGGAGGCCTGGGAAAGAACACCTCTGCACTGCTCCCAGCCCAGCTGCAGGTGCACCATGGCACCAAAAGGCGTTCTGCTGTGCAGTGGCACGGAGCTGATGTCCCCACCATGTGCCTGTCCTGACATAGGTGACGCTGAACCCCTCCGGGTTTCCAGCAGTGGTAGTAGATGGCTGAGAGGGATTAAAGGAAAGGTACGAAGGCACTTTGATTAACTGCTTTCCTAGAAGAAGGCATTTAGTGAGCACAACTGAGCTATAAATACCCTATAAATTTGCTCTAATACATGAAACAAAATAGTTGATGTTGAGCTGGAATGAAGTTTTATTGTTTTCTCTGTTCATCACTGAGCTGTGAAATTCCAACTTTGTAGGGTGTGCATTTGGTGCGTGCTGGGTGCATGTAGAGAGCAGGGGAATAAGGTGCCAGGGCCAGCTTTCCTTTAGAGGTATGCTTCATTCTCTTATTTGCTTTTTGGCCATACAAACCACAGAACAGCAAAAGGGAAAGGAAGGAAACATTATTCCTGGTCTGGCCTAGGAACAGTTTGGTCTTGTTATAATCTGATTTCACCTGTTACTAATTTTCCTCTGGTTGTGAGGGCTTGGAATTATTTGTTTGATAAATGAAGAGGGAAGAAGAGCTGTTGGATGTTGCTCAGTGTGAGGTAATGATGGTGAGGGCACTCCAGGTGATGTGAGTGGTGCTGGAGGTGGGAGAAAACTCAGACCCCATGCAGTGCCCTATGGGGTTCAGAATGGGGCAGAGGGCATTCCCATTGCTTCTCCCATCCCTGCAGTGTGAGTGGGGCTCCTTTCTCCTTTATGGAGCTGTGGTAGGGAAATGGGAAAGCACAGGTGTATGGGGAATTCCCAACACGATGCCAAGTCCCCTCCCTACAAATCAGTTTGCATCCTCCCGTTGCTATCCTTCTTAGTGTAGTCCCGTTGCTGTGACAAATAGTTTGGGTGATGTGAGCTGCTGAAAAGAAATGACTTTATTAGGCGAAAACAGCCTGTGAACCTCCTGGAACAAGCAGACTGTTTAAGTGACTCCAGATTGCACGGGAAGGCGGCTGCTCCCCTAAATCCCACAGCGTGCCTCAGCCGGGCTGCAGCATTGCATGGCACAGAGCATCGCCCTCCACGGCACAGCTACTGCCTGGGTTTGGAGCGAGTGTGAATAAATCCTCAGCGCCAGAGCTGCTTTAGCATGCCTCTAATTGGAGCCATAAAGTTAAACCTAGCCACTTAGGGTTCTGCTGGGAACTGGGGCTTCCATTTGCAGGCTCCCCTGTGCAGCTAAAGGGCACCACGCTTGCTAATAGGTGTTAAATTGGAGCATCACTTTTTAATAAGCCTCCTAATGGCATGATGCAGCTCCTTGGCAGCTCTGGGCTGCCTCCATTACGGTACCCACATGCTGGGGTGAGTGATGGAAGGCGGAGGTGGTGCCAGGTACCAGAAGGTTGGAGATGCACAGAGCCAAGGGATGCACCCAGCTCCTGTGCTCCCCTGTGAACTCCATCATCTTCATTGTCAGGACTGCCCCTTCCATCGGACCAACCTCATCATGGGGACCATCGTCTTTGTGATGGTGCTGTTGAGGTGTCACAGCAAGGGTGATGCTCCTCCTGTGTGCATCACCATCCCTGCTCTTGGGCTGTCAGAGCAATTCCAGATTTTGCCTTTCTCCTGCTTGAGACTGAGCAGGATTTGAAGTGGTGCCCGGCTGAGCTCAGCCCTGTCCCTGGCTGCGGGACGGGGATGCCTTGGGGATGATGCTGCTGAGCCCCATGGGACAGGCGATGGGTCCAAGTGCCCGCCTGACTGCTGCTATTTCTGCACAGTATTTCTGCTTTGCTGTGCATGATAAGCTGCATCTGGGATGACTCAGACTGGAGAAGATGAGGATCAGGGGAGACCTTATCGCTGTCTACAACTCCCTGAAAGGAGGTTGTGGCCAGGTTGGGGACCTCTTCTCCCAGGTAGCAGTGATAGGATGAGAAGGAATGGCTTCAAGTTGCTCCAAGGGAGGTTCAGATTTGATATTAGGAAGAAATTCTTCTCAGAACGAGTGGAGAGGCATTGCAACAGCCTGCCCAGGGAGGTAGTGGAGTCACTGTTGCTGGAGGTGCTCAAGGAAAGGGCAGCTGTATCACTTAGGGATGTGGTTTAGTGGGCAATGTTGGTGGTAGGTGGGCGGCTGGATTAGATAATCTTAGAGATCATTTCCAACCTCAAGTGATTGTATGATTACCAAAAAGTGAAGCCTGTCTGTCCCCCCCATTCCAAAGGGGTTCCTCTGATCCTGGTTGCTAACCCATAAATGACAGTGGGGATGTGACTGAGAACTGTCCTGGCAAATGCAGCTGGCTGGATCCAGGAGGGAAGTTTCCAGGCTGCTTTTGCAGAAAGGGCTGGGTTCCCAAGGAACAGGCTTTATTTTTATGTAATCCCTCTGCTTTGAGGAGTTGGAGGGGGTTTGTTGTTAGTAATTCAGAGGAGGGTGTCTAGAAGCGCTGTGCTGGCCTAGAGATGAGTGTGCCCTCAGCTTTAACAAGAAACACGCACAGGCAGAGAGCATTTGCTCAAACTCTGCTCCCCTTCCTAGGGATGGGACAGAGCAGGACTCAGGATGGGATTTGTCACCTTCAGACCAGCAAATCGGAGGCCAAAGCAGTGGAAGGGAATGGATGCAATTTTTGTCAGCTCCATCCGCGCCGGCGAATGCAGATCATGAATTACACACCCGCCAGATGACAGGCTGACATTTTAGCTCCAAACATTCTTCTATAATTAGAGAATCTAATGCAATACAGGGAATGGCTCCATTTTACACACACATTATCGTAATGCCTTTAAATAAGATAATTGATTATGCCTCTGCATAAGAAAGTAAAATATTCGGTGTAATTAAAACCGACATTCAGATTTTGGCATGCTGACAGGTGAGGCCATGTGTCATTTCATAAATCCTTAAAGTGATATTCACACCCACATTCGAGTTTCTGAAGTTTAGGGAAAAGAAAAGAAATCCTCAGTGCTGAGTTGTGTTGTTTTTTGTTTGTTTGTTTTAATCCTGAGTTCAAATGTGTTTTGGAAAGAGGGATTTTTTTTCATTTTTTATTTTTTCCTTCTGCTCTCATTTGTCTTCATTTCAGCCTCGTATCATCAGCTGACAAAGCCCTGCAGTCATGCTGCTGTGAGCAGGGATGCCCAATCCTCTGAGGAGATGCAGGTTTCAGCACCAAACCTCTGCCCGATCCTGATGAGCTCTCATGGAGCACAGACCTTCGTGTTGGAGGTGGAAGAGCACCTTGTGGTGCAGTAGCTGCCAAAGCCCTGACATCCCAATGAGGGATGGATGAGAAACCCCATCCTCGTGTCATGCGTGAAGGCATGGGCCAGCCGAGAGTGGGGTGACATGGGGACGGGGCCCTGGGGACTGCTGCCACTTGGGTTAAGATGCTCCTGTTCCTTCTTTATAAAGCTTTTATGCCAAGGAGTGAGGATTTGTTGCTTCTCCCATCCATTTCTGTGGCTGGAGGTGCCTTGTGAATTGTACTTCTGAGACAACCAGGTGCCCAGAACTGCTCAGGACCATTTGTGAAACCTATGCTGCTGGGGTTCCATCCTGCTGCTAGTGGAGAAGGTTTGTTAGATGAATCCCCAGCACAGTGGGGTCATGCCTCCTGCAGTCACTGGGTTGGTGGTAGGGCCGGAGGTTGGGATTCTCAGCTGTGAGAAATCCTCTAAGTCAAGGCTGATGCTAACCTGCTGCTTCAATATTTGCCAACCGCTGCATCTTGAAACTTTGCAAACAGAGCCTTGAATACTGTCAGCATATTTAAATCTATCCTTATTGTCCCAAAGCATATTTCTGGTGAGATTTGGGCAAGATCTGGGCAAAGAACCTCTGTTCTTTCTGCTTTGCATCCATCCCTGTCCTCTTTGGAGGTGACATGCTGCTGTACCAAGGCTGTGAATGTTTAAACTGACAGCTCCCAGCCTCAGAGCTGGCTGTAGAAGCAGAATCCAGCTTCCTCCATACCACTGCATCTTGACTAGGCTGGACAGGGTGAGGGCAGGGGTTGCCCGTAAGCACCACATTGGAGAACCCTCCCTGGAAGGATAAGAGGTAAGAGGAGGTGCTTCCTCATCTCCATCCTCATTCATATTGGCATTCCCATCCTACTCCTACCTCCATCACCATCTATAACCCCAGCCCCTTCCCCATCTATAACCTTACCTCCCTCCCCATCCTCAGCTTTATTCCCATCCGTAACTTCATCTCCTTTCCCATCCCTGTTCTCACCCATAACCGCATTCCTATCCCCAACCCCATTTCTACCTATCTCTCCCCATCTCTGTTCTCATTCCCATCCTTATCCATAACCCCATCTTACCCCTATCCCTTTCAATCCCCTTTGTGCAGGACTCTGATGAAGGCAGGAGGAGGAGGAGCTCTGCTGCCATTAGCGATGCGCTCTGCTTTCTCCCCCCATTTAGGCCATTATTCCAGGCTCACAGGGCTGTGGTTGGCAGTGCGGGCGCCGGGCCCCGCAGGGATGCAGGCCCAGCAGCCAGCCCTCGTGTCTTCCTCCGTTCTTAAGTGGGCTGGGAAAGGAAACCACCCCCCTGTGCCTGGAGAGCAGAGCCATGTTAAGCCGGCTTGTTTAAAAGCACTGCAGCTTTCTTTTGGCACTGTGACAAGCGGGGACGATGGCAAAAGGTCTCTTTTCTCGCTGCCCCATCATTTCTTATTGGGTGATGCTAACAGGGCAGCGCATCAGTGCAGCCCTCCCCACGTACCCAGCTCCTCCAGGTCAATCATATGCATAAGACCCTGGTGATGGCATCCCGCTGCCAAGTGCCACATGCCCAGCTCAGCTGCTGTCCCCCGGTGCTGTCTCACGTTTGGCACCTGTGCTCCCCATTTCCTCCACCCGCGCCCGCTCCTCACCCTCGCACACCCCCAGTGATGATGCAGCGCGCGGAGGAGCAGCATTAGTCACCGTTCTGTAGGAAGAAGGCTGTGAGCAGAGGAGGAGGAGAAGTGCAGCCACAGTGCGGAGCCAACAACCATCCCTCTACATGTAGTTGGGGCTGAAATAATGGCACTGGGCTCAGGCAGTGCCCTGGAGCTGGGCAGGTGGGAGAATCCAGCTAGGATGACCCAGAGAGGGGGGGGGGGAAGCGGTGTGGGAGCACAGGCAGCAGAGCTGCTGAAATGTTTCCCCTGGGATGGAGCTGTGGATTTTTTCAGCATCCTTTCTTCAATAGATGGAGCCTGCTGGGGAGAGAGTGGCTGAAGGAGATGGGCTGCCCACAGGACAGCGAGATGCCTTGGGGGTCTGTGGAGAGGTCTCCACAGAGGTGTCTCCTGGGGATGTTCCCAAAACCATTCTCTGCCTGGCCCAGGGCCACTGCACGTTCCTGGGTGAGAAGCTCAGCCCTGAGATGAGCTCTGCTTAACAGCCACTTCCTTACTTGCAGCTTCGAAGTCCTGCAGAGTGTGTGGGCAGCAGACTGGAGGAGAGATCAACCATAGAACACCATCTCCTTCCTTGCAAATAAGCCTCAGTCCAGCCAGCAGCAAAGCAGCAGCTGCCCTATTTCCAGGGCTGGTGGGAGTGCAAAGCCCTCTCCTCCTCATATTCATCGTTTTCAGCTGCAGATTCAGCTGTAGCCTCCAACTGCATCTAAGTCAGGACTGTGCCATGCAAACGGATGGGACTCAGGGAGCATCCCTGCACCATGAGCTGCTGCCAGGACCTGCTCTGTCTTTTAATGACACACATGTCCATGCGTCTGCATCTAAGCCTGTTCTTGACTTGCCCAATACACACAGGGATGCTGTGCTCCATGCTTTATGTATGTTAACTTTTTATTGTATCCAGACACTCCTCCATCACATGCATCATCAGGTTGCTGATTGCTTTCCCCGTGGTGGGCTGGAATGTGAAAACATTGGGCTACCAGTGTACCCATGGACCCTGGGACACCAATGCACTGGTGGAGAGTTAATGAATCACAACATCACTTATGCATTAACTTCTTTGAAATGCAAAGCACTCCCTTGATATTTCAGCATTTTCCACCCGGTCCAAAGCAAAACCCGATAGGTAGAGAACAGTGGAGAGCTGCACAAGGTAACACTTCCACCTTGTGTCTGGTACAACGATTGCATCAGCATTAATTACAATGGAACTGGCTGCCCTTTAAAGCAATTCAGCACATGCTGTATCCTCAGCTTTCCTGCTTCTGATCGGCTCTGCACTGAACTGCTTCCTTGCATGCATTCAAAACAGTTTGTAATTAACAATCACATTGTTTTCCTTTGAACATCAACAGAGATACAGAAAACAGAGATTGAGAGCCGAGATGTTGGTACAACTGGGTATTATTCTGCTTTCATGAAATGACTTTTCCTATTTTGCTGCAAATTTAGTGCTGATGAGAAGCTGGGCCAGTGTGCAAGCAGCCGGGAGGCTTTGCTCACCAGCTCATGGACAAAATTCTCTCCTATCGCTATGGGGAAGCAGGAAATTTGAGCTTGGATGCCCTGTTACCTTTGCCCATGCTGAATGCATTCTGAACACCACTGCCCCATTCACAAAATAAACTCAGCAGAAAAACCTGCAGAGAAGGAGAAGGAAAAGCAAGACTGTGCAGGCTCCTGAGCTACGCAGCGTGTTGGAGCAGAGCGGCTGCATTTGAAGCCTTGGCTCTGTGAACAAGAAGCAGATTACAAACTTCTTCAGTTCTGGTGCAGAGCTTGGATGGGAGGATTGCTCCCTCCATCTGTTCTTCACATAGGCAATCTGCCTTCAAAAGCCATCGCTGCTTAAGTATGGAGGAAGCGTAAATGCAGGAGCACCTGAATATTGTTTAACAGATGGGGACACACATTTTTCAGGCAGAGATTTCCTTTCCATTGCCCCACTTATTTCAGAGGTGTTTTTCAGGACCATCCTTCCAATGCCTGGGAATAGGATCCCAGCCTGCAGTTTGTGGCGATGGTAATTAATTTTCAGCAGCTAACTTTGCTGTGTGAACGCTCTTGTGACATTTGTGAAATTTGCTTTCATCTTCTTCCCTTCCAACTAAGCTCACATTTTTCATCCAAGCCTTCCAGGAGGATCACACTCTATGCCCCACTTTCCACCCTGGGAACAAAGTGGCTGGAGTTCATCCGTGCCATTCTGAAACGGTCAAGCAAACCAATAAAGCACGCAGCCAGGCTGCAGCCCATGAATGCCTCTGCCCACATGCACATCTTCTCTCCCTGCAGGAGCTGCCCTCCTGTTGATGATGCTCACTTGTTCTCGCCCCTTTTGCATCAATGCATACAGCACAGTGGCTTTCAGCTTCATCAACCCAAGGGCAACTACAAATCTTCCAGTGGGAATGCTGTCGTAGACTGCTGAGTGGCAGAAAGGAAATTGCTTTTCTTTGCAACTTTTGGATGATTCCATGCAAACAGATGGTGGACCCCATACCTCAGGGACTGCACATTGAAGCCACCACCTCACTGAGTTGGTGAAACCAACAGAAATGTGTCATATGGACCCCACAGAGCCCATCTACTGGGAGAAGTCGCAGCTGGCAAAGAGGAGGAAGAAAGAAGTGAAAATATAGGCACAGAGGATGGACCTCAAATTTCTCAGTTTTCATCTCACTTCCCCTTCCCATTCTTTAGTCATCATATTCTTTCCGGAAGAAAGTGGCTGTTGGAAAACAGAGAGAGAAGACGACAAACACTGCTGTGGAATTATTTAACGAGCCAGAATGAATTGCATTTGAAATCATTTAAATGGGATCTGGGAGTATTTAACTGCAGCACAGGAACTTAACAAGAGTGGGAAAGGATTTTGTGCTAATTGCTGGCAATGATATACCTACGGAGAGAGAACATGCAGCAATTAGTAAGCAAGGCTGTAATTTCAGCCTAAGGTCCCTGCCTGCCTTGGAATATGGCATGGATTATCTGCTGAAAGGAAGACAGGGGCCTTGGAATGCATGTGACCAAAGGGCAGCAGATGAGGTTCTCATTAAGAAGTCATTAGCCAAGATTGTCACACAAGAGATGGGTCTGCTCAGACCCCACTGCACCTTTCCCAACCTGACTTGGCTCAAATTGACAAAACTGAAGGAAACCCAAAGCCCCATCCCAACACCTGCTGTGCTGCTTTGTCCCTTCCTACTTGCAGGGACTGATCCTGCCATCAGCCCTTGCTCCAAGCTATGAGTCTACACAGAGCACAGTGGGCTGAGGACCAACTTGACCATTGCTTGCTGGGCAAGGAAGCCAGGGCATCCTTGTTGCTTCTGGGTTTGGGAAGCAGGGTGAGCAGGAAGCTGAGCTGGAACAAGGACCTGCCCTTCCTACAGAAATACCCATACAGTCCAGACTGTATGATGCCACTGTTCCGAACCTGCAAACCTCAGGCACAATCGATGTTCACCAACATGTCCATAACCCCAACCCCAAAAGAACTGTACAACACAGCACCAGGTGAGACCAGGTGTTCTCACTATGGGCTAAGGCAGAAAACTACCCTGCCTGGCTGAGCCTCTGCCACCTGACTGTGGCACACAGCCTCTGACAGCCTCTGCTCATTGTTTTCTATCTCTGTTCTCTCCCCACGATGCCTCTGTCTTTGGTTTTTGTCTTTCAATCAGTTTTTATCTCAGTAATTCCCATTCAATGGTTAGTCTCTGATCTTTCTAATTGAGATCAGAGCTTCATGTAATAGGGAGGGGGGAGGGAGACTATTTTTAATTTGCTACGTTCCCATTAATAACAAGTTCTAATTAAAAAACCTCCATCTTCCATCCTCCCAAGTTCAGAAGAAAACTCTGCGACTTCTGTTGGAATCTTCTCCTGATAAATTGGTACCACAGCCTCCTAGAACAGCTGGTCCTCTTTAGCAGGCATCGTAATTAATGGGAATAATAAATGCATTCAAAGCAGGTTCGTAACCTTCCTTTCTGTGCACTCAGGCTTCTCTTTGCATCGTGAGAGACACACATCGGCTTCACTTCACAAACAGGCCCAGCAGAGCTGCCTAATTCTAAGAAGCCCAGGTGCCAGTGATAGCCACTGGGCCATCACAGCCCCTGTGATACCCTTTGTGCAGGGGCTCCATTTACACCAGCTGCTGGCTGGGGCTGCCTTGGGGTGCAGATCAGCTGTGCTAGTGATGGACAGACTCTTGCTCTCCCTCTTTGCTTTTGTTCATCGCTACTGAGTTAATGGATTTGTCTCAGGAGCAGCCAAACCGGGAGCCATCAACACAGATATCCCCAAGATGAGCAATCTGTCCTGAGCAGTGATTTCAATTAAAGGGTCATTAGCGTGAAATCTTATCCCACCCAGCTCCCATTTGCCAGCAGGAGGTCCTTCTCCCCATCCCAAGCCTGTTCTGCGGTTAGAGCGCACTGCTCCTGCTGGAGCCCTCCCGTTTTGCTAAAACACAGCAGCTGCTGCTAATAAACAAACATATTGATCATAGAGATATGGGCTGTCAGGGACTTAATTCATGAATGAAATGTACTGGGGAGTGCCTGGTAGGAGAGGGCTGTGCTTAGAGAGCTCGAGGTCAAGATGGTGCCTGGAGGTGGGAGCGGAGGCTGCTTAGCACTGGGGCTGGTGTTAAGAGTTCAAAGGCTGAATTTGTTCATGGCACAGAAAAGAGCAGAGCAAATTTCTCCTCTGTCATTATGGGCCATCACTGACAGGGAGGGATGAGTTTTGGGGAAGGGCTCCAGTTCTTTCCCACTGAAGCATCTGGGTCAACCCAACCATTTGGGGCTAATTTAAGAAGACTAGAAGAATATTCTCCAAAAGCCAACCGTAAAGTCCTAGAAGGATCTGAGGCTTGGAGAGAAATAGGAGCTGCCTGCCTGCTGAAATCTGTGATGCTGGGACGACGGAGCATCACTTCAGGAACTCCATCAGTACAGAGGAGAGGGGCAGAGCTGCAAGTTTCCAATTTTTCTACCCTCCTGATTTGGGTCAAAATTTCCCTCCACCTATGGACAGTAAAACTCTCCTTTTGTGTGAGATTAGGACTGTGTTGCTGAGATACTAATGGCTGCCATTGTTTCTAAATTGTTGTTATTGTCTAGCATCTTATCAAAACAAGGTACAGTCAACTCACAGGTGGATTTCACACAGCCAGGGGCTGTAATTACAACAGGTGTGTGTTTGAATATACCCTTTACAGGTGCAGTGAATCACACTGAAACAGTCAAGGACAGAGGTGGAACTGTAACAGGCTGCCATACTTTTGGTATTAGCAACCAAAAGCTGTCGTTAAAACAGGCCTCAGTATTTATGGTTCTGGGTAGTGGAGGCCTTGCTAAGATTCCGATGAATGAACTTCCAAGGACAGGAATAGCTGTTAGTCTGAAATATTTATCAGTCTGAACTCTCTCTGCGATTCATGCCATGGTTTTGCTACTTCCATTTTTCTTCCCATCTGCTTGCTTTGAAGCTCAGGTTCCCTGGGCACCAGGTATTCAGCACTGCTGAGTGCTGTGCCACCTCCTGCCCCTGGGGCCACGTTTTGGGGCTCACCAAAGGAATTCCTGCTCCCTGCACTGCAGGAGATGGAGGCCATGGCTAGATGACTTCATGCCTCCCCCAGCGTGTGTCCGGATGCTGCTGCTGCAATGCCTTTGCTGTGGGATTCCCACATCCCTCTGGCTAAGGAGAGGTCAGAGGAGCTTCGGGGCACAAATATGATGGGCACTGCAGCTTTGGTAGCAGATCCATGCATGAAGGAAAAGGAAGGTGGGTTTGCTGAGCAGGCTTCCGAAAAGCCTGAGAGCCAGGATTTCTGTGCAAAGTCAAAGCCTGATCTCACCAACTGGGAGTTTCCATGCTCCTCAGGTCTCCAAGGCACCCGGAGCTTGCAAGTTAATAAAAGTCTAAACATTATCTTCTGAAAGAAGGGATGAAAACTCCCAGTGAATCACCTGCAGCAAATGCCAGCAAAGCACGTTTCCTTGAGGTTTCTTGAAGCTACCTCTGAAAGGTCAGATCTCTCAGTGAGACAAAAAGCTCTCTTCTCCCTCCTAGCTGTTCCATCAATACTTGTGCTTTTTTGTTTGTTTGTTTTTTTTTTTTCCTTCTCCATTTATTTTTACCTTCCTGTTCAGGAAAACATACATAAAGAAAAAAAAAATAAAAAGCTGCTTCCCATGACAGCAGCTAAGTTCAAAGCTCAGTCTTAGGCTAAGAGCTCAGCCCAGTGACCCCAACAGGCTTTGGGAGCAATAGAGGAGGTGAGGAGATCCTCGTGATGATCAGGGCAACGCAAAGTCAGCTGTGAAGTTGGCCGCAGCGGGGACAGCTGGTATCTCCAGTCGGAAGCAAAGCAAGGCTCTTGTCCACATGTTCCCTTCAGCCGCGGCACCCGGCTGGCTCCCAGCACCGATCGGCTGCGGGCCTCCCTGTTCGTTGCAGCAGAGCTGCACTGAGGGCTTCTCCCAGCAGCCAGCTCGCAGGGTCTGGGCGCGGGCAAGGGGAAGGAGGCCCCACCTCGTGGGCAGAGAGCGGGAGCTCTGCAGGGCGGACGTGGCTCCTCTCTCTCCCTCATGCGCTGAATGACTCTCTACTGAGTTAACCATGCGGTACGGTTCAGGGTGAGATTCCTAACCGCAGCGCTGCGGCACGCCTCCACCTGCTGACACCAGCCCTCCTTTTCCCCATTCCGCCTCAGTTCTCTCTCGGTCGTTATGGCCTTTGTCCAACACAGCACTTAAGCAGGTGTTTCTGAGCAGTAACCCAGCCTTCTTCACGGCGGTGAATCCGGAAGCCCACGCAGGAGGCATCTGGCCACCTCTGCCCTCTGCACACCTGGGTGTTTTTTTTTGGTGTAGGAAAGCACTGGGGCCATGGGCAGAGCAGATGGAAGACCCTTGGCTGATCTTCTCGCCGTGTTCTGCAGTCCTGACACCTGCTCGCGTGTGACAAGGGGAATAAATCACTGAGGATTTCCTGCCTGGACTTGGGGAAGACGAATGCTGCTGAAGGCTGAGGTCCTTCGGTTTGCTCAGCCCAGAGAAGAGGAGGCTGAGGGGAGGCTGCATGGCAATCCACAGTTCCGTCATGACCTACAGCTTCCTTCTGACCCACACCTTCCCTGTGGCCTACATCCCCCCTCATGGCAGCCTACAGCTTCTGCATGGCCTGCATCCTCTCCGTGGCAGCATACAGCCCCCTCGTGGCCTGCAGTCCCCTCATGGAAACCTACAGCTTCCCCAAAGGGAAGAGAGGGGCAGGCAATGCTCTCAGCCATATGGTTTGATTTTGGGGACTTGATGATCCTTATGGGTCCCTTCCAATTTAGGATATTCTATGATTCTGCGCTTCTATAAAGTGCCCGAGCCCTCCATGCAGAACATGATTCTTGCTACCAAAATGTCTCCTGTATGGCCAGAACCAAAATCTCTGCATTTCACCCCAAAAGCACCAGATTTAAGGTTAGCTCCATGCACCAGTGCAGTATCTCTGCTGCTCAGCTCGGTAACAAGCCGCAGATACGACAGTGGGGCTTACATTTCAGGACTTAAATATTCAATTAATCAATGGAATATTCCATTAGTGTAATAATCACTTGGCATTGGCTGATCTATAGGTACATCTCAGCTGGGCCTCGCAAATTGATTTCTGATGAAGTTCTAATTGACTGCACGGGCAGAAGAGGACCTGTCTGAGCATATTGAAGCGGGGTCTGTGGAGGCTCTGGCAGTACCACCTCCCCACAAGGAAGGGGAAGGAGAGGGGTAAGGTGTGATTTATGCCCCATTTATCTCAGCAGCCTCTACCCTACCCTGTTTTATTGGTCCCAAGTGAGACATGAGAGCTTACAGCTTTAATGTGGAAATTTGCAGGCAGCTGGAGACCCCCGTTGCTGACAGCTGCTTGTCACTTGTGCAGTGGGTGCCGGGGGGACCTTAAATCCTGAACCTCTCAACACGGGGTGCAGCCGTGGATCAGGTCACATTTAAAGTGCTGAAGTTTCCTTCAGAACACCCCGCTCTCCATAGAGCCATACCACCAAAGCCATGGGTGTTTCTTCCCTGCTGATGTGACTCAGTTCCTCTGGGGTACATGGAGGGGGACAGCATGTCCTCCTTGGCTGTCCTGAGCCCTGAACCCTGTGTTCTGCCCTCTCTGAGCCTGGTAGTAGCATGTCTCCTTTGCAAAATCATGAGCTTTGTCCCCAAGGTGGGGAGACCCCAATTCCCACCCTGGCAGGAGAAGGCTGCCTGGAGATTTGTGTTACACCAGAGTGTGGTTCTTCAGTGAAGGTCCATGCAGCCTGATTGACAGCCCCATTTTGCTTCTGAGAACATCTCTTGTGACCTACTGGCTCCTTCTGAGCTCTCCTGGTGGGAAGAGGTCACTATGCCAGGTCTCTGAAGCGTGCCTCACTCTGCTTCTCCTTCAGCATGCATGGAGACCTGGTGGTTGAGCTGGGCGTTAGGAAGGTGATGGATAGTGATTTCATGAAAACTGAAAACAACAGCATCAACAAAACCAATCAGTGCATGCATGGCTGGCTGCTGAATTTTAAGAGAAACAGCTGCGTTTTTCAAAGATGCAGAAGTGACTGTAACTTCCTCTCCATCCTCTACCTACATTAACTTAAGAGAGAGCCAGGTGCTTAAAGGTTACTTGGTAGGCAATGGCTGTTCTGTAAAGGGCTACTCATCTCTAACAGAGATAGCTTTTCTTTTATTGAACATCATCCAGAGTGGCTGAAACCTGATAAAAAAAAAATCCAGAGTGATAGCTTTCTTTTTTTTTTTTTCCTTCCTATTTCCAGTGAGGAATAATAAGCAGCAAAATAAGAAGGCAATTGTCTCGCTGTGTGCACTGCTTTAAGCAAAGGCTTTCTGTGGCAGGGTTTGCAGCTTAGGTAAATGTCCAATTAGAAAGATTTTGAAGACAGACCTTG